TTCTCCAGTGAAATCCCTTGCACCTAGAAACTTCATTTTTAGGAGTTTTATAAAGTAATTTACTTAGAAATTATAAACCTATTTAAATTATCTACTTCCCGTTGGGTGGAGCACAATAGTTTTTTTCCCAATAATTAATCATTGATTAATTTCATTTGAAACTATCAAATTCATTCACATAGAATTGTTTAAAATTTGTTGGTATCCTCGAAGTCTGCGATGATATCCCATTTTGTTTCTAATACTGATAATTTAAACACTCTTCTTTATTAGTCTTGATTGAGGTTTCTCAATATTATTATTAACTAGCCAGCTTTTCTAAAAATATTGATTTTCTCTGTTTAAAATGTATGAATAACATTTTTTATTTCACGGTCCATCAGTTTTTGAAGCTTCTAGTATGTTTTGATGTGGCTTTTGGATCTAGTTTGTGGAGTTATGCTTAGCTTTCTGAATCTGTAGATTTAGATCTTTTGCCAAATGTGGAATGTTTGCAGCCATTATTGCTTTCAGAACTTTTTCATATCCACACTCTTTTTTTGTTCCTTCAGAGATTCCCACTACATGAACACTGGACTTTTGTCATTGTCCCGAAGGTTCCAGAGTCTGCATTTTTTCCAGTCTGGTTTTATTTTGTTGTGTAGAATGGATGGTTTCTGTTACTCTATCTTTTGTTTCATTGAGTTTTTAAAAAGATGTATTTATTTATTTGGAAGACAGAGTTACAGAAAGAGAAGGGGGGGAAAGGGGAGAGAGAGAGAGAGTGAGAAAAAGAGAGAGAGAGAGAAAGAGAGAGAGAGAGAGAGAGAGAGAGAGAGCGAGCTTACGCACTTTCCCCTGTTGGTTCACTCCCCAATCAGCCACAATGACTGGGTTGGGCCACTAAAGCCCGGAGCTGGGACTTCACCCTGCTCTGCTTTCCCAGGAGGGAGAGGAGAGCCAGGACAGTGACCAGTGGCTGTCTAGAATGCTGACTTTGCAAGTGGTGGCTAAACTTGCTGTGCCATAGCTCCAGCTGTGATAAAATTTCTATATTATTCTTCTATTTCTTTACTAAATCTTTTCCCTTTGTATGCTAAGACTTTTTTTTTCACTTGTCTTAAACATTTCAGTTTCTCGTGAAACATTTTTATATTTATGAAGCATTTCATATTTAAAATCTTTTAAAAGATACTTCCAGAATTTCTGCTGCAAACCTCATGTTTTGAAATGTAATGTTTTAATTCTAAAAAAGTTATTCATTTGAAAGGCAGGGAAGCACACACACACGGATTTGGAGGGAAGAAATGTTTAGTTTGCTGGTTCCCTCTCCAGATGTCTACAACCACTGGAGCAGAGCTAGACCCAAGCCAGGAGCCAGGAGCTCCATCCACCTCAGTCTCTGAAGGACCAGACAAGCCACTTCTGACTCACCTGATTCAACTGGGATGACATGGTCGTGTAGGGAATCGCAGTGACACTCTAAGGATGTCCGGAGATGTTCAGGAGATGTTGTGACAGGAGAACCAAGAGTCCTGGAGGAAACTATGGAAGCCAACAGCTGTCCGTTAGAATCCTTCATTTCCCAGAGCGCTGGCATATAAGGCAGTCCTGGGCACCATAAACTGGAACTTGGGTCTGAATAGTAAGTGCTGCAGGAGGAGACTGGACATTCTAAGACAGGACTGTGTCTAACCACAGAGTTTATGGTTTTCCTTAGGTCAATACTGAGAGAAATGAGGCAAAGGCAAATACTGAGTGACCTCTCATATACACATATAAAAAGGATGCAGAGGGCCCGGTGTCACAGCCTGATGGCTAAAGTCCTTGCCTTGCATGTGTTGGGATCCCATATGGATGCAGGACCATATCTTGGCTGATCCACTTCCCATCCAGCTCCCAACTTGTGGCCTAGGAAAGCAGTTGAGGATGGCTCAAAGCCTTGGGACCCTGCACCTGCGTGAGAGACTTGGAAAAAGTTTCTGACTCCTGGCTTTGGATTGGTGTAACTATGGCCATTGAGGCCACTTGGGGAGTGAACCAGTGGATGGAATATCTTTCCCTCTCTCCTGTTCTCTGTATGTCTGCCTTTCCAATAAAAAGCAATAAATCTTTTAAAAAGGATACAGAATCCAAAAATGGGAAATTCATGGAACAGGGAGTGAGTACAATGGTGGTTACCACGGGTGCAGGTGTGGGGGTGTTGGAAATCAGGAACTGTTTGTCAAACTATAGAAAGTTTCAGTTAAGATGAAAAAGTTTTGGAGAGCTGTTCACTGCTGTGGGGACTGTAGTTAAAAATGCAATACTGCATTGTTGAAAAAGACCACATGCACATACAAACAAGTTCTGTGAAGTAATGGGCATATTAGCTTGATTGCATCACTTCACAATAGGTAGCATATCAAAACATCATCTTCTATGCCATCAATACATGCAACTACTGTCACCCAAAGAACAATCCCCACAGAGTGAGCAGAAAAATAATGGTGCTGAAATTTCACACGGCAGCAAGAGAAAAAAAGTCTCCCAGTGGGGAAAAAAAAATCCTAATGTGATTTGGATGACAAAGTATGCATTTTGGTTTGTTTTACAAACATAAGAGAAAATTAGGAAAGCACAATCAAAAAGGAAAAGAGTAGAATGGCCTCCATCTACCTACCCACTGTACAGCTTTCTTTAATCCAGGTCTGCCTGCCTGCTTCCCGTTCTTCACGCCATACCCTCCCACAGAATTACTTCAAAAACAAATCCAGCTCGGCAGCGGGTGGGTCCCAGGACAGAGTGTCTCATGCCCGGATCCCATACGCCCGCCATCATGGGCACATGGTGAAATGGGCTTGGGTGGCCAGGGCACCATTTGGTGCCAGGGTTTGCTTGCTGGCCGCCCGGCAGGGGATCTTTGGGATTTTGGTGTTTTGAATTGCTGCTTATGTGGCTCCACATTGAACCCGATGTGTTTCTGCGAGGTGAATACATCCTAAAGTTTCCCAATGACAGTTACTCTTCCTTTAAAGAATGTGTTACCACTTAGCAATGCTGACCACCAAATACCAGTTCATGCTAAAGCTTTGGCACGGGTCTTGTCCAGTAGACACACTAACTGGATTAAGGCTACCACCAAGGAGCACGTGGGCTGGAATGGGGGCTGCGTTCTGATCAGGTAACAGTGAAATCCCCCTTGGCAAAAGTGTGGACTGGGACTGGACGCACCAGGCGGGACCAGACCCCAGCACTGTCTGGTGCTCCTGGAGGACCAGGATAGACGTGGGACGGACTAGGCTAGGTCGCAACCCCTACTGAACCATGTGTGAGCTGTATGTGGGAATGGACTGGACGAGCCATGGCTGGGCTGAAATATCCAACAACAAGAACCAGCTTGGGTCGAAAGCTAGTCAGAAACTGAGTAGGGCTGGCTCATGCGCAAAATCCGGCACTGGGAGAGGTTCTGATGGAGGAGCCTGGGCAACTCCTCTGGCAGGACACAGACCCCACGGGTAAGCGCAAGAGGTATGAATGGAAACAGCCCAGGGCAGGCCACAAGAAGTTTCCCACTGGCATACATTAGGCATGGATTGGGGGCAGACCAGGCTAATCAGTTAACGTCATCACTGGCAAATCCGAGCACCAGAACAGAGTAAGGGTCGAGCCAGGTTTGGTTGCAATAAAAACCAGTCCACACTACAGAATGCCAGGATGAGGTTGACTGTACCGGATGTGACTACAGTGCCCATCCAGCACACGTGAGAAACAGGAAGGGAGGGGACTGAGCCAGTGGGGGAATAAGGGGTGGTTCCCCTGCTGGACAGCTACTCCCACTGGAGAGCATGAACTGGGATGGGGGCAGACCAGACTAAGCAGGGCTACAACACCTGTGCACCTCATGTGGACTAGATCAGGGAAAAGCCAGGATGGGTGGATTGTTCGTATGGGTGCAACCTACAATTAGAATGGGAGAGGGCTGTTTGGGCATAGCTGTAGTATCAGCTGACAGAAACTGGTGCTGGGGACTAATCCTGTCAAGTTAAACTGCAGAACCACCTGGAAAGTGCACAATCTGGGAGTGAGAGACCTGGGAGGGAAATAGTGGGTTCCCCTCTCTTGGGTCACCACTCCCACGGGAGGGCACGAGAACTAGGATGGGGGCTAGGGTAGCTAGACAGAGAGGCACTCAACCACACCCGTGAAGGCTTGACTGTTGAGCTGGTTAGATGGATCCAAGCTTCAATGCAATTTGCCATGTACGAGAGCCAGGGGGGATGTGGGAGATTAGACTGGTCTGCCACACATATTGGCAAACCAGGGTAGGGGCTGGGCCTGGTGCGGGTTATTGTGGGCCGCTCTCATCAGGATGCAGCTCCCACTGGTTTCGGTGAAGACCGAGTATGTGCTGTGCAGAACCAGGCTGGACTGCAACACCCATTGGTTCCAGTAGAAGGCAGGGCTGAAAACAGAACCAACCCAGCAACTGCAACTACCAGCTGACCGGGTGATGGACTGTGCAGGGTCCTGTGCTTGCTGGTGCATACGAGTATCTGGCCTGGGAACACCTCAGACGAAGTTTCTTTGGTGATCTCCCCAATGCCAGACTCAGAACCCAAACCATGAAGGGACAGAAGATGGAACAAGTTAATTAACCACCTCAGCTATAGGTTGGCAACAAAATACCGGGCAAATAGAGATGCTATGATGGACAATGTCAATTAATGGATTTTTCAACAACCTCATCGTGTTTGGAAAGGCAAGATTGGCAGCAATTTCAAAACTGGTGACCTATTGAAACCACTTCAATGAGTATCTCGGAGCATGCCCCACATGCGGGACTTGGGGTGGGTGGGAAACCGGGTGGGGCTTCTCCCTCAATATCCCCCTCTACCTCAGATATATGAAGGAAACAATACGGAAATAATAGTCTTACCCACTTTCCTGTAGCCCTTGACCCTTTTTGCCCAAATTAACTATGTAAAGATTGACAAAATAAAAACAATTATTATTAAAAACAAACAAACAAAAAAACCAAATCCAACATCACAACTTTATTCATAAAAACTTGCATATATATATATATATATATATATAAAACTGAAATTAAAACATCCTCTTGAAAACCTAACCAAAGAGGCAGTAGTCTTGTCTCATGGAACAAATCAACTTTAAGAGTTTGAACTATCCATTCAAGATCTTGCATAGTTCTGATTGTCTAATCATGTCTTCTTGAAGAACTGTTTTGTGGAAGTCACGCTCCAAAGCCAACGTGCTGCAATTGGTTGGTGAGTCTCCCAGGCCTCCTTGCAGGTGCGGGTTCCCTTTCCCTTTGGGGTCCCCTGCGACCTCCTTTTTGGTTGTATTGATTGTCTTTTGAGTTCTTTGTTTCTGAATATTGTTGATTGCATTCTCGTGCTGGTGTTAACATGATTGCTGTGCCTTTCTTTTCAAATGGGGAGTAAAATCTAGAGGCTAATTATTTCCTGTTCTGAAAAAAATGTCCCTTCCAATACGAAAGTAGCCTCAGCCTTCTTGAGCCCAAGTGCAGCTGGAGTGATGAGGGGAAAGCAGCAGGCTCTGTGATGGCTAACTTACTGCATTCACTTTTAATTCCATCCCTGGTTTTCACTGTTTTGTCCTTGGTGGTATACACACCTAGGAAGAAGATTGCTACATTCCTTCCTAGATACATTTAGGGAGCTAAAACATGCACAGGAGAGCTTAAATATTTATAGACAGGCCTGAAAAGCTGCAGGGCCTTTCATCTAGAAATTTGCTAGTTTAAAACATAGGTCTTGGATCTTGAAAAAAAACAAAACTGTCAGTACTGAGACCAGACATCATTCCTGGGGCGAGAAGATAAGGCTCTTAAATAATTTCAATATCATAAGCAAGTGGGCCTCCAATGGAAAACCCCAGATAAAAAGACACCTTTTCTATGCTTCTACCACTCCGGAGTTGACCCCAGAAAGCGGGTGTAATGGATATTGTGATTTTTTCACTGACTCCATATTCTATATATAAGCAGTTATTTTCAGCTCGACCTTGTAAACGAAGTAGAAGTTCCTGGACATGTTTGTTTTTCCATACATCTCCACTTTGCCACCAGGAATTGATGTCAGGTGTCTTTTCACAGCATTGATCAATTTTTCCTTTGTGGACAAGTCTGTTCGTATTGTTACCTTTTCCAAGGAAGAAATATGCAATGGGTTGCTTGGTACGAAACATATGTTTGTACTGCCCCCTGAAGGAGTTCTCCAACGACTGAGCGTACTTTTCCATTTGTTTAGAATCTTGATCTAGTTGTTGGTTTTCTGGCCAGAATAAAAGAAAGGCCAGGAAATAGGGTTCTGAAAACCTGCAAGTCAGTCCTACTTGTTGCAAAATTTCTCGAAGCTGTTCTTTCAGTTTTTTAATTGACTTCACAAACCTGGAGTTAGGTTTAATGCATGAGAGAATGATGTTGGCCAAGATGAAATTCTGCTTTTCCTTTGGTTGGATTTTCTCATTACTTTTATCAAAGAAAAAAGTATATTGAGTCACTATATGTTCCATGGTGCTTACTGCATCTTCTTGACTTTTGACAAGATATTCCAGGAGCCCAGAGAATTTGTCTGCTTTTAAAGCTGCCAGGCCTCTTCTGCACTCCTCTACTTGAAGTGATAAACTAAGCTTTGATCCGAGAACTTTGTTTGATTTCTCCATTGAGGGACCAAATATATCTATATACTTTTTAAAATACATAGCCACTTTTCTCCGAGCTCTAGCCTCTTCATTTTGCTTAAAGTTGTTCCTCGGTTTTAGAAGGACAAAGTAATCGTCAAAAAAATCAAAGGACTTTTTCAAAGAAAATTGCAAATTGGTCAGATAAGGAATGAAGTTCTTGAGAGTGGCTTTGAATTCATTGTCTGAGTCTCCCGGAATATCAGCATTTCCTGAGACAAAATTGATCATATCTTTTTTAGATAGTTCATTTGTTTTGTCAAAAAAAGGAATGAGCTGGAGAATCTGGATTGTGTAGAATCCAACTTCTATCTCTCCCTGGTAACCGGCTATGTTGTAAGTGTCATACCTCCTCTTGGACCTCTGGCACCACCGTTCTTTCTCCTCGGTCTGTTTGTCTTCACTTTGCCGTTGGGATTCCTTGAATGCGTCCGAGGCATGTACTGCCAAACGCAAGAGTTCCATTAGATCCTCAGGGGATATGTGCTTGCCTTTTGCCTTATCCTCTATACACCATCTTAATTTGCTTTTGTAAACCTGACCCACTGTGTCTGAGATGTAAGAATTGAAGGGTTCGATAGTTTTTGCTTCCTGTGCCCAATGCAGAGCGTTGCCGAAGTCCTTCTCTTTAATGTAGAAATGTCTAGCTAAGGCCTGGCAAATGAACGCATTCTTGTTGAACCGCTGGATACTTCTTTCTAATACCTTTTGAACTGCCTGATTGCCTTCTTCTTTATGTAAGGCTTCAATGAACGGAGAGAACCAATTTCCTATGTCATCTTCATGTTCATTCCGATGTCTTATAAGCAACAATGTCTGCACATCTTGCAAAAATTTATTTTTCCCAATCCCAGTTTCATAAAACAAATTTTCTGTTAGCATATCCAGCATCATCTGACTCTTCCCCAAGCCGTAGCTGTTCTTCAGTTCTTCCAGGGAGAGGCTGGCAATCAAAGGGTGAATGATACGCACCCCACAGTAGACCCCACATTCGATCACCTCGGTTCTTATGAGAATTGTTGAATACGTGCCCATCTTTTCTTCAAGTTTCTCTGTTCCCCAGAAAGCTTTCTTATTTGCTATTCCCAAGAAGTTTTCACACTGTGACAGTGAAATGGTGGTATCAGGCACGTAGGAATTCAGAAGAGCCAGAAAAGAGAACAGCTTGGCTTCCTTGGTGGAGGGGTCCTGCCCTTTCAAGATATTCCGGACCACATTTTCAATGTATTCTTTCTTAAAATTTTCTTTCAGGATCATGAAAGAGTAAAAATCTTCAAAGTTCTCGTATTCGGTTTTTATGTTTTCCAATTTAAACTCAAAAGCTCTCTGTTCTTTGGGGGACAGTTGGTGGATTAGGGCAATGCTGTCTGGGAACTTGGCACTTTTTTCAGGGTTTTGTGACCTCATGCAGTTTAGGATGATCACAAGTGGTTTTTCATATCGAATGTGCTTCTCGGCCACAGCTGTCTGAATGGAGGACTGCAGCAGGAAGACGTTGTCCTGTTCCTCAAAATCGTCAACAAGCAGTAGGACAGGTAAGTACTCCTGATTATTAGTTTTGCCATATGTTATTAAGTTGGTCACCTGTTTTCCAATTTCAGAAAAATCCAATGTCTTATTTTTCAGTACAGCACATCTGAATTTCTCCCTTAGTTCCCAGAGAACATGCATGGCCAAGGTGGTGCCCCCACAGCCAGGATGGTGATACAGGTGGATGATTTTGACACATATCGGCCTGGAAGAATCTGCCCAGTCTTGAATCATTCTTTCAAGTTTTTCATATTTATCCCTTTTGACAAAAGCTGAAGAATAGTTTTTGGAAGAAAAATAGAAATTCCACCATGACACTTTGCCGCCTCGATAGAAAGCTTTCTCTTTGGATGCCCTAAATTCCTGGAACTTCTTTCTGTCCTTGTCCTGCTCTAAAAGGGTGCCTTCACATTCGTTTACACAAAGAATATCCAGGGCAGTCATGGTGTCTTCTTCCTTCTTCAGAAGCACAGTGGAAGAGCCACTAGAGGGCAGAAGTCTATTCGAAGACTGAGTCACAGATTTCAGCTTAAGAATCGTGCCATTTATTTCTTGAAGACTTAAAGTAGAGATACACTGGTTTGAAAGTTCATCTTGCTGCTCTGTTAATCTTACTGCAAGTAGATCTTTCCATCCTTGACATATTTTTGGATGCACACACATACATAGTATATTTTCCATCCCTTTGAGATCTTGGTAGAATGCACAGAAAGTTTCAATGAGGGGATCCCTTGGGTCATCCACAGGGGAAAGTAGTAAAAATACCACCAACACTTTCCCTCTTGGCATAATCTCTTCATGTGTAAGAAAGGAGATCAGTTTCCTGACTTCGGAAGCTCTTTCTCTCTGCCAGGAAGTTGGGTCCAAGGGTTTATATTTTTCACTGTTGAGGTCTGACCGGCCGTTACAGAAAATCCAGCTGGGTTGCTGGTAGAGATTCAGATTGGCAACCATGTCTTCTCGTGTGGTTTTCCCATCTACGTATTGACTTGGAAAGTGAAGGTTCGCTAGTCTGTTTTCTTTGAAAGCTTTGACTGCTCCATTGCTTTCAGATTCAGGATCAAACTCCAAAACAGCAAACCATTTAAGTTCCCTTAGGAAATCCAAATACTGTATTTGACTCGGATGACACTTGTTTGTTACAAGAATGTACCAATCATAATAGGAATTATCTAACAAATCCCGGTTTCCTGTTAGCAGTTCAACCAACTTCAATCCTTCGCTGTTATTATTATTATTTGTTTTAGTCATGGAATTGTCTTCTGCCTCTTTCCTAGACTCTGCTAGCGTTTTTAAATCTAATTTAAACATTTTGAAGTCTGTTTTATTTTTCATCATGTTTTTATTGCTGGCCCCATCTCGCACAAAGACTGAGAATTTTGAACTCTGCTCCCACGTTTTGTTGTTGCAAATTTGCTTTTTAATCTGGAAATAGTCCTGTCCACAAACAGAGTAATGCGGAATGACATCTACCTCGATAACAAATCTGTCAGACACAGTATCATCCGGCAGTAAAACTTCCACAAATCTTGGTCCTCGTATGCAAGTCTTTGCTTGTTGAACTTGATGCTCTTCAAAATATTTATCTATCATCTTATCAAAGTGGTCAATGAGAGCATTTTTGGTAATATTGGCGAGTTTCACACCAACAATTTGCCCATGGGGTTTGTCTTTAACTCCGAAGTGAATGGTGCCATTGGTACGTGAATTCATACAGGCTGAAGCAAATTCAAACACTTCGTTGCTGAATTTCATCTTCACATCCTCTTCTGTGGCCTTTTCTGTATTTGTAAGCGCTTTGAATTCATGTATTGGATCAATGAGGTTCTGTGGTCCTGTTTCAGGTTGGAGAATAAAATTGGATTTATATCTCCATAATTCATCAAATCTATTAAAAGGATGTGCTCTGCAAGATGGTTCTATGGGTGGTGGTGTTTCTTTTGTGTCTCCTCTTTGCTCTTCCATGAGCTCATTTTGTAGTGACTTGGAATCCTTCTCATCTGGGCTCATGGCAGAGGCCTTAGCCCCATCTGTGCTCTCGTTTTTCTTTTGGTTTTGCTTTGAAGTATCTCTGTTTTCCTTTTGCACCAATTCTTGTTTCTTATGAGCATGTTTATTGCCTTTTTTCTGCAATTCTTTGAATAGTTCTTCTATTTGGATAGCTGGTCCATGTGTTATGCCCATGTCAACAAGATGTGTTTTCTTTAAAAACCTCAAGACTGCTCCATTCACATCTTGTGCCATCAAGGTATCCCTGTGTTTTTTGTCAATCTTATGGCTTTCTAACCACTTGTTTACATCTTGTTTTGTCCAATCTTCTGTATTTTCTGGAAGCTTCAGATCTGCCATGCTGAGATGTACAAAAGGAAAAAGTGAAAAGAATTTAGTATTTTTGTAAGTGAAATGTTCAAGCAATCTATTTTAAAAGCACTTCACGAGTACATGTCCTTCAGAAAGGAAGCCTACTATCTCCCAAGCACCTGCAGACATTTAAATACAAAGTCATAAGTTGATGGTACTGAGAGTGGACGCTTAATCCAATGATGTTGTCAGGGGGTGTTCGTCTTTACATGACTGAGTCTGGCCTAGCGATTGCCTCATCTGTCTGACTTGACGTACAATCCTGCCTCTGCTTGTGTCCCACCGTGCTTTTTTTTCATTTCTAAGATTTATTTTATTTATTTTTAGGACAGAGTGAGAGGGAGAGACTCCAGAGCAGAGATTATTATTAGACAGAGGACCATTTAATTATGGAAGAATAAATTGACAAGATGGCATACCAATGCTAGAAGTAGTTATTAAACAAAAAAGTTGCAAAAGTATAAAGTAATATTGATAAAACTTTATACTGATTCCATAACTGTTGTTGGAGACGTTAATACATTTGTCTCAATAATTGATATGACAACTAGGCACCATAACAGTGAAGATATAGAGAAATTCAACATTACTAACAAACCAGCAGGTTCAAAATTATAATTATAGAGCACTTCATCCAACAACAGTAGAGTACCATTCTTTTCAAGTGTTCAGATAAATCATATCCAAAGCGATCAAACTTCCACACATTTGAAAGAACTTAAATCTTACAGGCTATGTTTGCCAACTATAATGGAATTTAATAGAAAAAAATAAAGTTAAGATAAAAAAATCATTAGACACAAAATTATACACTTCTAAATAATTCATGTAGCCAAAATAAAGTCTCCAGTGAAATAAAAAAGAGCGCATTGCCATGAAAAAAAAAATGAAAACACAACATATCCAAATTTATGGGACATTGGGGAAGCAGTGTGGAAAAGTACAACTTAAGGCAAAACCCAACCATGTTAGAGAAGAGGAGGATTGCAATAGTAATGTAAGGTTTTATCCCAAAAATCTAGAAAAAATGAGCCCAAAGCAAGCAGAAAGAAGGAAAGAAGAAAAATAAGAACAGAGCTGATTGAACTGGAAATAGAGAAACACTGGAGAAGATAAGTGAAGATTTGCTTCTTTGGCTTCAGCGATAAAACTGACAAACCTCTACAGAACTGACAATAAAAATGAAAAAGACAAATTACTAATAAGAGAAATGAAACCATGACTGCGATTTCAATCCCTACAACACTCAAAAGGACAACAAGGGAGTACAAGAAAAACTTTACACACAAATCACAAAGGAAATGGACCCATTTCTCAAAAAACATGAACTACCACAACTCGTAAATAACTTGCATAGTCTCATGAATTCTCAAAAAACCCCATAACTTTAGAAATCTCCCTTGGTGCCAGTTTTGCAGAATTCTTCCAACCATTTAAAGAGCTAATGATGATTCTACACAACCTTTTCCAGCAAATAGAAAGAGAAGAATACTTCCAAATTAATTTCTAAAATACAGAAAATAAAACCATAGTCTCATATCCCTCATGCAGAAAAAAACTCTTATCCTATGGAAAGTCAGTAAATGAAGTCTGTCATTTGCAGACCTCAGAGGAAAACAAACCACAGGCCTATCCACAAATGCAGAAAATCTGACAAAACCCAACAGACATCAATAATACAAATTCTCAGAAAAAGAGGGCTAACATTGAGCTTGGTAAAGTATCTACATCAACATGATTGGCGAAAGATTGAAACTCTTACCTTATGTTAGGAATCAAGACAAGGATGTCCAGTCGCAGCACTTTCGTTCAATGTTGTGCTGAAAATTCAAGCCAGTGCAATGAAGCAAGAAGACAAAAAGAACACAGCCTATGAAAGGAGGAGATAACGTTGTCTCTATTTTCAGACGACACGATTATCCGAATAATGCAAAGAATGCATAAAAATTATCATAGGACCAACAAACTTCAGAACACAAGATAATTCTACCAAATTTTTCCCCCTAAATATCAACAAGGACACAAAAACACCCAAATTGAAATCAATTGTATTTAGAATCTTAAAAAAAAAAAAAAAAACAACTCCTGAATTACTTTGGTTGTATAAGCCAGGATAAAGTTAAATAAGGCAGTTATAAAAGTCTAGCAAACATGTAGACCTCAATGCTGAAAACCACAAAGCACTGAGCAACAAAATCAGAGATAAACAAAATAGACATAACATGTTCACAGACTGGAAAGTTTATTTAGTAAGGATGTCAATTGCTTCCAAATTCTTACATTGATTTCATATCACTATACCAAGATTCATCATGGTTCTTGCTGATAGAGATATTACTAGAAAATTCATTTGGAATAGCAAAGGAAGCACAATAATTCAGATAATTTTTAAAAAATAAAGAATAAAGTGCAATTAGTTTTTCTGAGTTCACTGTATAACTACAGTAAAAGTAAGGCCTAAGAGGCAGACCCACACAAAAGTCCAGTAAATTTCTGATAAAGATGCATGGAAATAGAATAATTGTTTCAACAAATGATACCTGAGTGAATGAACATCCCTGTGAAAACAAACAAGCAAACAAACAAAAAACCTCATCCTGACCACCTCACACCTTATTCAAAAATTAACTTAGAATGAGTTAAATAGAAGAATTAAATAGAAGAATGAGAAAAACACGAAATATGTATCAATTTAGTAAGCTCAAGACCACATAAGAAATTATAAGTCAGTTGTTGAAGGATTATACTGTTGTTAAAATATAGGGGAACACAGCGGGTGAGGGGAGGAATGGCAAGGGTGGAAAACGAAGTTCCTGAGACTAAGAAACTGTAACAGGAGAATAAAAATTAAAAAAAAAAAAAAGCAGTTTTAAGTCGGAAGATGAAAGGAGGGATGGACGTTTGGCCTGATGTTACAATGCTGGTTAAACGCCAGCGTTCCCCTCTGGAGTGCTGGGTTCAGTACCCGTCTCTGGTGCTTGACTCCAGCACCCTGCTAAGGCAGATGCTGGAGGTATGGGGGTGGCTCAGGTAACTGCCGAGGGATCCTGCCACCTCCAGGCAGGACCTGCACGGAGCCCGTGGTACCCGGCTCTTGGCTGCAGCCCCGGCCCAGCCCTGGATGTGGTGGGCGTTTGGGATTGAAGAAGTGGTGGAAGCTTTCTTGTTCTCTGTGTCTCTGCTTCTCAAACAGAGAGAAAAAAGAGAGAGAGAGAAAGCAAGCAAGCTAAGAGTCATGGAGTTACAATAGAGATAGTTAACAAAGCCCAAAAACATTCTCAAAGAGTGGGAAGATGGACTCATCCATGGAAAGATTTTCGAAAAAATCCAAGGATTCTTGAAATAGCTTGTGGAAAATTGAATTGAAGCTTGTTTATTTTGGTGCAAAACAAATAAAATGCATGCATAAATTTAAAATAATCCATATTCTTCAGTAAGCTTTTTGAAGTAGCCTTGCAAAAGAGCCATGACACAATAAGCAATATCAAATGCTGTAAGAAGGAAGGGATTAGTGGTCATTGCCACCATTTTTAGGGTAATGAATCTCAAAGCTGAAAATAACAGGAAAAATTCCTTGAAAAAGAGACCTGACTGATCTGACAAGTGAAAAGACCTCGCTTGCCACCCTGAGGTGGGAGATTGCAGAAGGGCACTGACGCTCCCGTTACAGCAGTGAGGGAGAAGGCAGGGAAATCGTTCCACTCAACACACAGGTGCAGGGAGACTAGATTACACTTCCCAGGTAAGCTGGAATTCCAAATGGGAAGATTCCTGCCCAGGTCAGCTTTTGGATGACTCTGGGTTTGGGTTGAACTATTCCCCTAAAGGAAGGGAGGCCTTTGACGGGACCATGGTTGGTTAGGACTCAAGTGGTCTCTACCTTGAGAGAAATGCAAAATCAAGCTATAATAGTACAACACATCCACCAGAATGGCTGGAATTAACGACCAAAATAATGAATGGGTTTGATGTCAAGGGACTTCTCATACATTGTGGTGGGAATGTAAATGATTTCAGGCATTCTGAAACACTACCTGGAAATTATCCCTGGGACTCAGCAATTCTAAGAAGAAAGACTGAAGTACTGGTGCCAGAAGTCACACAGATAAGCCTTACAACGTCATGTTGAGTGAAGGACACCACTAGAACAGAAAACATATTGTAGGATGCCATTTACGTGAGAGTCAAGAACAGGGAAAATTAGCCTAGTGTAGCAGTTGGATGGTTACCCCTTGGTGGGGAGATGTTTTCTGGGAAAGAACAGAAGGAAAATTTTAGTGGGATGAAAATATTTTCTTTGATCTGGTTTGATGAACACATGTAAATATTTTATAACATTACACTATTGAGACTTACTTCTTTGCCTGAAATGTACTTTATGTAGTTTTATTTTATATTTGTTCATTTGAAAGGGAGAGAAAGAGAGAGAGAGAGAGAGAAAGACTCCACCCACTGGTTGACTCCTCAAGTGCCTGCAATAGTCAATAGTCGGGGCTGAGTCAGATCAGAATCATCAACCAGGAACTGATCTGCGGCTGCCACATGGTGGGGCGGGCCGGGGTGGGGCGGGGAGTACCCCACCTCTCAGGGGGCTCAACAGCAGCGGGCAGGAGCTGCGTCCTGGCTCTGGCTCTGTGATTGGGGTGCACGAGGCTCAAGTGTTCCTTCAATTAACTAGTGAATGGTGCCGCCCAAAATCCAGGATAAATTAAACAGGTGAATGAAAGAGAAACTTGCCTAGAAAGAGATGAGGATGTGCTGTGAGTCAAGACTAATGACCTATTCAGCGCTGGCTGGCTGTGGTCCTGAAGTGCTACTAGGCATTTGCTACGGCAGCCTAAGACGATGGGATTAAGCCTCTGTTGATGGATACTGATTTTTGTAGTTGTTTAATATCTGATTCCACCTGTTCTAGTAACCCTCCCATTTGAGTCACTTTCTTTCTCTCCCTTGACTAGAACCCTTGCTCTTCCAGCCCACAGAGCTCACTGTGGTGGCACCAGCCACATCGCAACACATGAAGTGGGGGCTCTCTCCTGCTGCTGCCGGGGAGGCTCGGGCCCCTGGGGTTTGTAGCCACAGTTCTCAGCTGCCATTTCTTGCCTGGATTTCCCCATTTCCTGGGGTTCCTTTCTGGGGACCACACCCAACCCTTATCTTTTAGAACCAGGCATGACAGAGTTTTATTTTGCCAGAGGCTATTTGGATATTTAGAAGATCATTTCAGGTCATCTTGAATTTTGAGTAGTCTTACCTTGGCAGGACTAGACCAAGTGGTTTTGCAGGCCTTATGCAGCCCAAGGGCCAGACAGTCCCCGCACCTGTGAAATGACGCGTCACAAAGCAGATTAGGACGGATCACGTCATTCACACGTGAGCTGCACACCACAAACGTACAGAAGCATGAAGTCAGGCCTCCTAGCAGGCTCGACACGGTGCGGAGCTGGGTCTGAATTGTTGGCTGGGAACATAAGGGACAAAGAACCATTGAACTTTGCCTCTTTTCTTCTACATCCTGTGGATGTTTTGGCCATGACCAACCAGTTTCCCCTCAAGCTTTTGTCTGACTGTCTACCTAATTTTATTTGAGAGGCAGATTGGGGTGAAGGGAAGAGGAGGAGGGAAAGAAAGCACAATGGAGAGAGAGTTTCCATCGGCTGGTTCACTCCTCAGATGCCTGCAGCCAGCAGGGTTGAACAAGTTCAAAGCCAGGAACCTGGTGCTCCATCCACGGCTCCCACACAGGGAGCAGGCAGGGTCCCCTACTGCCTCTCTCAGCTGGAGTCGTGATTCCTGTGCCTTTCAAGAGATGATGTTTGAACCCTTGTTGAAAGGCCACACTTGGAGGATGCATGCAAGAGGAACTATTTCCGCCAGCCCTTCCAGCATTCCTAGGTATTTTGCACAGAAGGATTCTGTATCATGTCTCCTGTTCCAAAAAGGGTTTTGAAGTAGTTTTGGAAGTGATCCTAAATCATGCATCTATCAGAATGTTTAGGTAAAGAAATCAGGGAAGAGAAATCAGAGAGGCAGGTTAGTGGCTAAAATATCTCTTTTCCTTTCTGTAAACCTGAAAAGTGGTATGAAAATTTGATTTACAGGTTCCTAGGCAGCAGTATTAGAAAAGAAAGCACAGCTCATTACACAATGCCACCCACACACACTTATGACCTGCGCCGCTGTTGGCTTTTCTAAAGGGAGAGTTGAAGGTCGGACCTCATTCAGGTCTGCCATCCCTCGGTCCTCTGCACTTCCCTGGCTTGGCCAGAGCTCAGCGCCCAGCCCAGCATCTTCCTCAGGCACGCCAAGCTGCCATGACTACAGGGACTTGTTAGCAGTTCAGCTGCCTCTCTTTCATTTTCTTTCTGCCTCTGGCACTGACATCTGAGAAGCTACCGGAAAGTTATGCTTTACAAACTGCCTATTCCTAGAGCAGGTGCTGAGCCATCTCGCTGAGCCATGTAAACTCCCCTGTTTCCACCGGCTGCTTTCTGAGGATGCTGGCATGGCTCCGGAGAAGCTTCGCTAGGGAGCAGTCACGATTCATTTCCTAACCAACACGCAGCAGGAAATAGCCAACAATGTCTTGGTTTCGCAGATTTTTTTCCGGTTGGGTGTCTATTTCAATTTTCTAACCCCAAACGAAATTTGTTCCCATCAATAATACGCAGATAGATAACAGTAGCAATAGCAACAAAAATAATTAATAGTAGATGTTGACCTTACCTGGACTATGTCTCAGATTTCTTCTACCCAAGTGAGTAGGAAACCTCCTTTTTGATGCAGAAACCATCCGATGTCTGCGTTGTCTTTCTCCTACCGTGTGAGATTCACACTGGCCGTCTCAGCCCGGTTCCAGGAAAGTTCATTTGCTTGATACTTTGGCCGGACCAGCCCAGTTCTAAATCAGCTGGGTGTGTCACCCCGGGAGGCAGAGACGGGAAGCCTGAGCTTTAGTTTCACTTTCCTGATTGTGTGTTTAGAAGAACCTGTGTCTGTGTGCCACAGCTATGCCCCCTTGTGGTCTGCTTTGTTAATATCCAGAGTGTTAAAATCAGTTCTCTGCTTGCTACTTTCCCAGGTTGCAGAAAGCCCTGTTGCCTTGGTTACAGACCAACTGTGGTACCCTCCACCCTGATTCTTTGTCCTGAATACCAGTTTTCTTCTTTTCTTTTTCATACGTGTAGAAAGAGCAAACTTCCTGCATTTCACATATATAATTTAAGGCACATAATGACTTACTAACCTCTCTCCCTGCAGCCTTCTTCCTCCTCTCGCCCTCTTTTAATTACCACAATAACATACTTTCAATTTCAATTTACGTTAAATTTCAATTTACTTTCTAATCACTGACTTAATTTCCCACTCAAAAAAAAAAAACCAACAAGCAATCTTTCTCCTTTTTAAAATATTTATATATTGTCTTATTCCATTTTCTGTTGCAGAAGCTGATTATCTCAGACTAGGTGATTCATAAAGAAGTTTATTTCCTAGCGTTCTGGAAACTGAGAAGGCCATTGTCTGGGTCTTTCTTGCCTCTGGGGACCCTGTGATTCCCAGGGTGACACAAGCCACTGCATGGTAAAACATGCAAGCTCCCTGCTTCAGCTCCCACGCCCCTTCTACAGCCACTACT